TGCGGAGCCAGGTAGCCCGCCAGCTGCGCGCACAGCGGGGCGCGCGGCGCTGCCGGCCCCCCCGCCGCCGCCGCCGTGCAGCGCAGCATGTCGCGCAGCACGGTGATGTGGCCCTTGAGCAGCGGGTCGGAGGCAGCTGCCCCCAGGTCGCCCCACACGCGCCCCAGCACGGCGGCGGTCAGCGGGTGGGGCTGCAGGGCGTGCAGGAAGAGCTGCTGCTGGCAGCGCTCCCAGGTCTGCCCCACCAGCTGCCGCTCCCAGGCACCCACGTCCTCGCTCCTGCGGGGGGCAGGGCGCGGGCGGGAGCGCGGGCACTGGCGGCACGGCGCTGCCACCACGCAGTCAGCCCTCTGCCGCGCGCACGCCGCCTCCACACGCAACCGGCGCAGCCCACGCCAGCCCATCGCTCACCCGGCGGCGGCGGCGGCGGCGTGGCAGCATGCGGCCAGGAAGAGCAGCGCCGCATCCGCCACCTGGCCCCGCAGCTCCCCCGAGCGCACCGCCGCCGCCAGCGCCTGCCCAGGCATGGCCTCCAGCACAGCGCCCAGCAGCGCCACGCAGTGGTGACGGGCCAGCGGCTGCAGGCTGGGCGCGGCGTGCAGCAGGTGCAGCGTGGTGTGCAGCGCGGGCAGCGCCTGGTCGCCGCCCGACAGCCGCATGCGCAGCCCATCCAGCATCACCTGTGTGGGCGCGAGTCAGGAGGGGGGGTCAGGGGCATATGCCCATAAGCCAGAGTAGGCGCCAGGCCGGCAGCCGCAGGAGGGACCACGGCACAGCACAGGCCGCCGCAGCAGCAGCAATTTCCCACCCTCCCCCCAGCCTCGCCCCTCACCCGCAGCTGGTCCTCTGCCGCCGCCGCCGCCGCCGCATTCAGGGCGGCGGCCAGCAGGCGCAGCGCGGCGGGCGCCACCTTGCCGCGCAGCGCCTCGCCCAGCGCCGCCGCGCTGTCGCCGCCCGCCGCTGCCAGCAGTGCCAGCTCCCGCTGCGCGCACAGCGGCACCTCCAGCAGAGGCCCCCAGCAGGCGGGGCCGGCTGCCGGGTAGGCCGCCAGCACGTGCCCCGCCTTCTGCGCCCAGTACAGCAGCAGCTTGCCCATGCCGGGGTCTAGCAGGCGGTGGCAGGCGCGCACATCCTGCCCCATCAGCGCCAGCACCACGCCCAGCACCCGCCCGCCGCCCAGGCCTGCGCGGGCAGCGGCAGGCGGGGGGCAGGGGTCCGGGTGGGCGTCAGCTGCCTGAGAAAAAGTAGGCATGGCCTTGCATGCCAGATACTCTGCATGGCGAGCCCCAGCTGCAGCAGGCACCACCCGCCTCCCCCACTCGACCCACCCCGGCGCTCCATGTCGGCCTGCACCTCGCTGGGCGCCGCCACCCACAGCCGCTGGATGCCGTTCCAAAGCACGTTGAGCACCGAGAAGTTGCGCAGGCCGGGGCGGCGGTGGCGCCCGTCTCGCATTCCCACAATCTCCCCCGCCGTGCGCCCTGCGCCCAGGCAGCGCAAGCAGCGCGGGCAGAGGCGTGGTGATGGCGAGATGGCAGGCGGCTGCATGGCTGCAGGCATGATGGGCTCCTGCACCCAGCGCCTGGCACAGGGCAACTGACCGTGCGCACGACAGCTGGCGCCAGCTGTCGCCACCACCCCCCAGCACCCACCCATCTCCAGCAGCGCTTCGTACTCCGCAGCCAGGCAGAAGCCGCTGGCCGCGCTCTGCTGCTCCGCGGCGCCCACCAGCAGTGGCAGCAGCCCCTCCTTGAGGGCGTCCCGGGCCAGGCCCGCGGTGCGCAGGTAGGCGGCCTTGCCGCCGCCGCCCGCCTCGGCGTGCCACGCCGCGTGCCAGCGCTCGCTGTGCAGGCACATGTCGGCCGCCGCCAGCAGCGCCTGCGTCCACGCTGAGCGCTGCACCGCGCGCAGCTGCCCCTGCGCCCGCTCGAGGTGCTGCCGCGCCACGCCCAGCCCATGGCTCACCGCCCCCAGCGCACGCTCCAGCAGGCCGGTGGGCAGCGGGCTGCCGCGCTCCACCAGGCGCACCATACCGCTGCAGGCCTGCATGTTTTGTAGCGGCATCAGGGAGGGGGTGAATAGTGGCGTGGGTGGGCTGGGTGAGCTCAATTCGCGGCAAAGACCCGCGCCGCTTGCACGGCGCCCTTCCGCGCCCGCCCGCCCACCTCCTGGATGGCGTCGAGCCGGGCGGCCAGCTGCTCCTCATCCTCGATCGCCGGGCTATCGAGGATGTCGAGCGCCTCCTTCAGCGCCTCCTCCAGTGCGCCTCCCGCTGGCTGCTCCAGCGTCTCAGTTTCAGTCATTTGAAGCACGGTGGCTCAGAAGCTCCTTCTTATTGGCCAATGGCTCACAGACGGTCGCCCTGCAAGCTAGCAGCATCGAACTCTGCCAAGTTTGGTTTTGTATTGTCCACCGCCACGCTGGATCACTTCACGTGAATTCACCGGGCAGGGTTGGACAATTGGATACTATCCCGGCTCTGCGTGCAATTGCGAGGTCTCCTCCCACCCCGCTGCATGATCTGCCTCTGCACCTGTGCCTGCTCCCGCCCCTTGCACTGCCTTGCGTCGTGTGCACCAGCTAGACGGACGGCACCAATCAGAATGAGCAGCTCAGGGGCGGGTGTCAGCCCAGGAGACGCCGCCGCCACCGCACTTCCGTCGCCGGCCCAGGCGGTCGAGTTCCTGACCCTGCTGCAGCAGCTCAAGGTGATTGAGACTGTGGACTGGTGCAGCTCTGCTGCTGCCGCCAGGACAGTTCCTCAATTCCCTGCACAGCAATCCTTGTCCGCCTGCAGGCGCAAAAGCGGACGGGGTGGGTGAAGCGCGGGGTTCGGGGCCCCGAGAGCATCGCGGACCACATGTACCGCATGGGCCTGATGGCCATGCTGGTGCAGGGCACAGAGTACGACTACCACAGGTGAAGCGCAGGGCGGATTGTGGAGCAAGGCACAAGTTGCATTTGGATGCACACCACACCCACGCCACCCTCCCGCCAGTGCCGCAGGTGCATCAAGCTGGCGCTGGTGCACGATGTGGCGGAGGCGATCGTGGGCGACATCACCCCCACCTGCGGCGTCAGCGACGAGGACAAGTTCAGGCTGGAGGCGGGGGCGGTGCAGAGGATGCGGGGCATGCTGGGAGGCAGCAGCAGCCTGGCAGGTGGGTGGGATGTGTTAGAGGAGACGCATACAGAAGCGAGTCGACGCACCTGACAGGTGCTGCCTGCTCTCTGCTGATGCACCCGTGTGCTCCATGCCGTGCCGCGCAGGCAAGGAGATTGAGCTGCTGTGGCAAGAGTATGAGCAGGCACAGACGCCCGAGGCGCGGCTGGTCAAGGACTTTGACAAGGTGGGGCAGTCACACAGGAGAGGGGCAGGCTGCGTGCCCTGGCCTTCCATGGTTGCGCTGCCTGCTGACGCTTGCCGCCGCCCCGCGATCCATGCCCTACAGCTGGAGATGATACTCCAGGCGCACGAGTACGAGTGTGGGCAGGGGATGCAGCTGCAGGAGTTTTTTGACTCCACCGCGGGCAAGTGGCGCACAGAGCTAGGGCAGTCGTGGGCCGAAGAGATCTACAAGCGGCGGAAAGCGACTGCGGCAGCACAAGGCAAGGAGGGATAGGCAGCACAAGGCAGTAGCTTTGAACTGTATCCCTTCGCATTTGACAGAAACCGTGAAGTGTGACAAGACAAGAGGAAAAGGGGCGCATAACTCCCGTCACCGCCGACCGTACTTCCTTCTGTACCGCGACCGGCCGGCAATTCCAGCCACCGTAAGGTTCCGGCAATCCCCATTCGACTTGAATCGACGTCAACACACCGCCGGCTGTGGGCGTTCGGTTGCCGCCAGTCACTTGTTGACCAGCAATGGCGCTCCGAGACGCACCCGCGGCCGGCTGTCCTGCCCCAGCAGATGCGCAGACGGTGGGACGCTTAAGCGCCAGCCAAACAAGGCCCCAACAAGTCCCCGCCGCCGTCGCTCTTTGGTGGCCGCTGGCGGCGGCGCTGCCCGTTGGGCCACCAACCAACCAGTGCTCGTGGATGTGGCTGCTCTTCCTTGCAGGCTGAGCTGACCTTTGACGGCGTGTCCTACCTGCTGATTGTGCGCTGCGTTGGGGGAGACTGCCTGGAGGTGTCGGTGGAGCAGAAGGAGGATGCATCGACCTGGAGCGCCGTCTTTGCCGCCAAATGTGCGGGTGCCGCGGGTGCCTGGCGCCTGGTTCCTGAGCGGCAGCAGTGCCAGCAGAGTGCTGACCATCAAGCCTGGCTTGCTGCAGATGTGGAGGAGATCAGCGCCAAGACTGGCAGCTTCAAGCGCTTCCCCGTGTTTGTCAAGATGCTGCTCAGCGCGCTGCGGCAGGAGTCGGACAGCGTGTTTGTGGACTTGCTCACCCCCGCAGACCTGGAGCTGCTGCGCAGCAAGCGTGCCAGCAGCGGTGGCGCGACGGCTGCAGCACCCGCGCCCTGCCAGCCGCAGCCACAGCGGGAGGCGCAGGCGCAGCCAGGGCAGGCAGCACCCACCGGAGCCGCTCCCTCCGCGGCTGGCAGCAAGCGCTACCTCATCCTCACCTATGCCGCAGAGTTTGACCGGGTGCACTACCCGCTGCCGCTGCAGTACGAGGAGCACCCCGACCCGCAGCGCCTCAAAGCCACCATCCGCCAGCTGCGCGCCCAGCTGGCAGCGGCCACGGCACGCGCTGCGGGCGGGCTGGGCCGCCGCGGCGGCAGCGCCGCCGCCGCCCCCGCCGACGTGAAGCAGCTGAGTGAGGAGAATGCGGCGCTGCGGGCGCAGGTGCAGGAGCTGGAGGCGGCGCAGGGGCTGGGCGGCGGCTCCAGCCTGGCCGCCGACGTGCAGCAGCTGGCTGCGGATGCCCAGGAGACGGTGCGTGACCTGCGGGCGATGCGGCGGGAGCGGGATGGCCTGGTGGCCAGGCTGCAGCAGGCCGAGGCGGCGCTGGAGGGCGAGCGCAACCTGCACCGGCGTGAGCTGCGGCGGCGGGGCAAGGACGTGGCGGACCTGGGCGGCGAGCTGGCGGCGGCCAAGGACCAGATCCGGGAGCTGCGGCTCAAGTGCCGGGAGCTGACGCAGGAGCTGGACCTGGCGCAGCGGCGCGCCAAGGTGGCCAGCATGAGGTGGGTGGCGGAGCAAGGGGGAGCCGGGGCGCGGCTGTCGTACGGCTGCATACAGCGCCTGCGTGCTCCCTCGCCGCTCCCTGGCATGCTGGTGGCGTGCCCAGCTGTGCAGCAGCCTGCTGTTGCCCCTGTGTGCAGTGCTAGCCTGGCCCGCCAGCCATCCGCTGGGCGGCCTCCTGGCAGCAGCGGCGGCGGTGGTGGTGCCAGCAGCAGCCGGGGCTCCCTGCCCAGCTACTCGCGGGGCACCTCGCCAGCGGGCAGCCGGTACCACAGCAGGGACGCCTCGCCAGCGCCCATCCGCAGGGTGCCGCTACCAGGTGACCCGCGGCTGCTGCTGCGCCTGCTTGGCAGCCGGGCGTGCGCAGCGCCGCCTGGTGGCGCCTGCTGCCACTCAGTCCTGCGCCCCTTCCTGCTGCAGGCCCGCCCCGCTCGCGGTCGGCCGACGTGTCCCGCCCCACCTCCCAGCCCTCGTCTCGCCCCGGCTCAGCAGGCCGCTTCGACCCCACAGAGTACGTCAAGCAGCGGCGGGAGCGGGAGCGGGAGGCGTCGAGGAGGATGGACGACATGCGGCGTGCGGCACGCATGCAGTCGCCGGGCTCCCGCGCCGGCAGCCTGCACGGCTCCCGCCCGCCCTCCATGCCCACCTCACGTGAGGCTGGCTGCATGGCTTGGCACTGGCCTGGGGCGGTGCCGCAAGCGTGCGTGGCCCGTTGGCGAGTTCCTAGCAGCCCCTGCCGGCATGAGGGCATGTGGTGCCCACCTGTGCCTGGCTCCTTGGCTGCAGGGCACTCCACACCACAGCGCAGCCGAGTCCCCAGCCGCGACCCCAGCGCCGACAGGGCGCGGCAGGCCGCTCGCGATCACAGCGCGGAGCGAGGCGGCCTGCGGCAGGGGAACCCCCGCCAGCGGGACGCCGCCGTGCGCAGCACCGAGCTGCTGCGGGCGGCGGTGCAGACCACGGCGGGGCGCAGCAGCTTCCCGCCCCGGGAGCAGCGGTCCGCGTCTCCTGGCAGGGCGCTGATGGAGGTGCAGCAGCGGCTGCAGCAGTATGCCAGCAGCAGGCTGCCGGCCAGGGGCGGCAGCGCAGGCCAGAGCGCGGCAGCAGGTCAGGATGCAGCCCAGCAGCAGCAGATTCAAGAGGTGCAGCAGGCGGCGCAGCGGCCACGGGTGCCGCCCACTGGGGACCACTATGCAGACGCCAGCGCCGAGATTGCCGACATAGACAGCCGGCTGCAGAGCCTGCAGAACTTCCTGAAGGCCGCCAAGGCGGGGCAGCCGGCGGCGGTGCCCGCATGAAGAGATGCGCGTGGTTGGTCTGCCGTGGCATGTAAATTGCTGAGGTGGTGTTACATGGGCGTCCAGCGGGCATATGGCACAGGTCGCTGCCTTCAGGGACTGGGCAGTGGTTGAACGGCATGGCAAGCGGTAGCAGGAAGAATGGGCAGTGCTGAAGCGGGGGTGAATACACGAACAGGGCAGAGCAAGGGGAGCAAAGCAGAGCAACCCGGAAGGACAAAGGTTACGGGGTGGGGCGCCGCGCTACGCCAGCCGCTCCAGCAGCTGCACGGGCATCAGCGCGTTTGCCTTGTTTGTCTCCACCACGCACCCGTTGGCCACCATCTCGTCGATGATGTGGTGCGTGGTGTCCAGCGAGAACATGATGTCCAGCTCGCACACGTTGCTGAACCACTTGTCCAGCGTCTCCACCATGCAGTGGATCATCTCCAGAGTGCCCAGCTCGTTCTGCAGGGAGGGCGGGGGCGGGCAGGCGGGTGGGCGAGGGGCAGGGGTGGGTGGTCCAGGCGAGCAGCAGCAGCAAGCAGGCTGCGCTGCCGGATTGGATGCAGTGGCGGCACAGACCGCCGGCGCGGCGGGCGGCCAGGCCCCCACCTCCTCTGCGTCGATGCCCATGAGGAAGAACAGGGAGGCGTATCTGCGGTACACCACCTTGAAGTTCCTGTGCTCCACAATGTTGCACTGCAAGCGTGGCAGCCAACAACACGCGCGGCAGGCATGTGAGCAGCAGGCTGCGCGCGGAGCCAACACGCGGCAGCAGCGTGTGGGCGGCGGGGCCATCGCACGGCGCCACTGGCAGGTACAGTCCAGGGCACAGGTGCACTCCCTGCCCCCATGCATGCCACTGTCGGCCGCAAATCTGCGCGAGCCTGCGGCGTGCCTGCTTGTCCACGCGCGTGAGGCACTTGCGCACAATCTCCGCCTCCAGCGCTCGCCGCTCGTCGGTGGTCAGGCTGCTGTCGGTGTACTTTGCCAGCCGTGTCTGGCCCTGCTTGTTGACCAGCAGCACAAACTTGATCATTGCGCCCCGGCAGCTGGCCCAGCCTGCACGATGGGGGAGGGCGAAGAAGGGCGGTGGCCGGGCGGGAGGCGGGCCACGGCGTTGACTGCGGCGGTGAGGCCCCGCGGCTGGGCGGCGGCTGGGCGGAGGATTCACCTGCGTGCCTGCTGCCCCTGTGGACTCCCGCTCACGCTGGCCGCCTGCAGGACCTCGATCACCGGCACCAGCAGCTGCCTTGCTTGAGCTAGCTGCGCTGTAGCTGGGTGTGTTGGCTGCTGGGTTCAACAAGGCGCGAACAGTGGAGGACCGTGAAAGGCACACGATCGTTTTATGCTGCGTGCTGCGCGTCCTCCCTCATGGCTTCACTGCTGGGCCCATTTGCGCCTCCTGGATTCCCTGTGGGGGCACATCGACCGTCTGCAGCACGCCTGGCGCAGCTTGCAAGTATGGACTGTCACTTCCAAGGCCTCATCGTGCCACCAGGTAATCGCCCGCCATGCATGCTTGTCGTGGGCTCCCTGCCGCGTGCAACCCCTCCCCTGGCTGCCACGAGTTTGGTGTAGGGTAGCGGGGGCGGCTGCACCTGGGGGCTGCACCAGGGGCCGGCCACAGGCCGCCGCCAACGGCAACCGGCGCAGCGGTGGCGGCTTGCGGCGCAACACGCATCGACTGGGCTCTGGCGACGCAACCCAAGGCCTGACCAGGCTCCCGACACTCCCTCTGTCTTGCAACCTGCCACACAGGCGAGAGCGTGGCAGTGAAGGCGGCATTTGATGAGGATTTGTACGAGACGATGCACTTCACGCAGGTGTGCGGTGGCTGGAGGTGGAGGTCGCTGGCAGCACACGCATGCCCTGGGGCAGCCGGGTTAAAGGACCCCGGCTGCAGCTGCTGGAGGCCAGCCATGCAGCCCGACCCCTGCACCTTGCCACGCTGCCGCGCCCCCGCAGGCGGCGCTGGGCACCAGCCCCAAGCCCGGCCCCCACACCATCTTTGTGGAGAAGGACGGCCAGAGGTTTGCCATCGGCACGCTGGATGCCGCGCGCTGCGCGCAGGTGCTTCGCTAGCCTGCCGCGCGAGCAGCGTGCTGTGGCGCGGCGCCTGGTCCAGGGGCTGCCCTGCACCATGCCTTGCCACCTCCCCGCCGCTTGGCTGGGTGACCTGCCCTGCCGCCCTCCCTGACCCCCCTGGCCCCGGGTGCCGGGGGCGGGAT